CTAAAATGAATATCGTTCGGTTAAATAGCATTTTGGTATAAATATAATTGCACTTTTGTGATTAGCCCTCGGTCTGTAACGTGCAAAATAAATTGTCAAATACGCAACTTTTTCGGGGTGGCAGCACGGTCGCGGGTGTCATGGCGCCGTTCAAATTTCGTAGCGTTGGTATGTAATTAATTATAACAATTAAATTAGGTATCTGGTAACAAATACGTGTGGATATAGCCGATTTGTTATACAGTAAGTACAGTTGTATGCAGTAAAATCCTAGAGGCTACTGTCCCTTTAATCAATACACAATGCCATAATAACTGGGCATGTTGGCAGGGTAGTGATCAAGTACACAACATTGTGTGAGCTGCACTGTATGGGTGCAAAGGTATTTTGCCCACAGCACGAATAACCAGACTGGCTTTCAAACACAAACACACGTGCACACAAAAGTACATCATGCATACATACATGCACACACACACACACACACACACGCACATGCACACGCACACGCACACGCACACACACACACACACACGTATTACGGTTGGTGCTAAAGATGTATATTTTATTATTCACTACCGCGTATGCAGCTCCCAATAGAGGCTCTGTGAATTTCTCTCTTTTCAAATCACAGGCTAGCGTGCGCATATATGTAAATTAGTGCTTAGAACACTGCTTTCAATGCAAACAAAGCACCAGCGCAGAGATGAGGTTAGGCGTGATGAAAATGTGAGGTGTTACCATTGGGAATTGCTACGACAATAACTAATTCACACAGTCATAATTTATTCCACATGCTTGTGATCAGCTAGACATATGCAGTTATTATAAAGACACTTCTTTTTGTTCTTTTGTTGGACAGTGCCCCTCTAGGATACTCATCCACCCACCATGATTACTTACTCAGTATGCTACAACTCCTAAGTTGAGATTGGCGGCTGATGAAAGTGTGCACATTTAAATAATTCAATTGCCAGCTCAATTGCTAGCTGTATTACAGGATAGTTTGACTCACGGGCCAATAAATTCCACCCTAGAAATTTGCATAAGTTGGTGTTATTCTAGGGACCGATATCTTTCCGCACACAAATGTGAAGAATTTTTTTACATTAAGTTTTTCTCTGTTTCTGACCAAGTAACATGTCCCTTGCAGTACGCTGAAATCAATATAGTAATCTTTGTTCTGACAAAACACATGACAAACCTACAATTATGGGCCGTAAGATAGCGTCAGATAAAAATTTATGGTGCAAAATTTATTGGTCTACTTGCCTCCATGCTCGGTAACAGTGAAAACGACACTTATCGTCTCTGATCTACTTTTAGACTTCCACATTGATCATCGTCAACGTAACCTAATCCTAACCCCACTGCGTGCGCACAGAGCTCATAAAGTACACTTGACTTTTATGGCTATCATTCTTCGTTGCCCGATGACTACAAACCTACTAAACGTATTGAGACCGCTACTTTAGTTGGTCATATATATTACTAGTAGTAGTACTCTACTGCCGGTAGTGGTAGTATCTCTCACAGGCACTTGGGACAGAGTCAGTAAAAACTGAAAATAATAATTAATATGAATGCACATTCACAAATACTACCGTACCTCTCAATTACAGTTCCACTGTTGTATCATTGTATATCAACTTTTCTTCATAAAAACTAACGACGAACGCTCCCGCACTCGCCGCTGCGAGTGTGCTGTGTCGCCATGATAATAATATATAAAGCAAATATTATCATGGCGACACAGCACCCTCGCAGCGGCGAGTGCGGGAGCGTTCGGCGTTAGTTTTTATGAAAGAAAGTTGATATACAGTGACACAACAGTGGAAGTTGGAACTGTAATTGAGAGGTACGGTAGTAGGGCCTATTTGTGAATGTGCGTTCATATTATTTTCAGTTTTTACTGACTCTGTCCCAAGTGCCTGTGGGTTGTGGTAGTGGTACTGGAAGTATCTCTGCTACTGCTCGAACTAGGACTAGGACTAGGAGTAGGAGAAATTCGAACCGTACATTTGATTAATGATCGAACAATCGAGCAATCGTCAAAACTGCGCTATGTCGTTCTAAAAACAGCAACGCAAACTATAAGTTTAACACTCACTAGCTCCTGCGGCAACTGTACGCGGGCTATATTACTACCGCTAAACACTCACAGGATACTGAATACTGAATAGTTTTCAATAATCGCCCGATTGTGATTCGGGATTTGATTTTAATTTTATGCCGTGCAATAAGTGAATAACTTTGTAAATCTTGAATATAACAATTATAGAAAAATTGAATACATACCATCTAATATTACCAGACAATAGTGCGTGCAACGAAGGCAGGAAATCCACACTTGATGAGGTAGTGCCCACGCATTTAATCAAATTCTGATGAAAGACAAATTAGAAATAAACGGACGCTACCATATTATTGGTATATGTCGCCCTCTATTTCACTTCACATTATGTGCGCATCCTAAAATAACCGGATCTGAGGGCGGATCAGAAAATTGACCAATAGGAGAAGACCACGATTCGTAAAGGTACGATCATAGGGTACGATACAGTTACTACACGTAAACTTTCCATTCAGCGAGACCTGACAGCGAGAACCTGAGCGAGAACCTGACAGCGAGGTGTCGAACTTTGAAACACTCTAGTAGGTGTTGCTGCCAAGAACAGTTTAATTTTATTGGAAAATGTACGACCTCGTGACTGGGCTGACGATATCATGGAGTTGCTGGACGCTGTCCTGTCTTTTTATTGCAGTTCTCGAACTTCCAAAACCGACAAAGTGTAAGTGTCCTAGGACCCACGTTATCATGCATAGCTGAAGTTCCTCTTCTAATGATTCTGTGATGTGTTTGTGTCGAACCATATGCTCGTGTAACGTAGCTGCTCAAATTAACTAGTATTGATTATATACTCAATAATAATGCAACTAAAGCCTGCCATCAGTCGAAACATTTGCTAGGTTACTAAAGAGAGCAGCAGCTGAGCAGGAGTGAAATAATAACAATTTGCGACTATTTTTCTCCTGCTGACCTCTTCCGCGGATTCTCTCCCTCTGCTTCATCTCTGCTTATCTCCCTCTTTCTCAATACATCGTCTGTAATATTCCGTATAATGTTTCCTAATCGTTGTCTCCGCATTGCGCGCGGGTTTTCGCTTCGCAGGCGTGAGCGGCGACGCGGCGACGGAGGTTGAAAAGCATCTCTCGCTCGGGACGACGATGCTCGCGAGTGGACAGCTCGGCGACGCGCTGACGCACTACCACGCCGCGATAGAGGGAGACCCGAGCAACTACCTCTCGTACTTCCGCCGCGCCACCGTCTACCTCGCCATGGGGAAGGCGCGCTCGGCCCTCACCGACCTTGACCGCGTCCTTGAACTGAAGCCGGACTTCACAGCAGCGCGGCTGCAGCGCGGGAACGTCTACCTGAAGCAGGGGGCGCTGGACGACGCGTACATCGACTACGAGCGCGTCCTCGCGCGGCAGCCAGACGCCGACGAAGCTCACGCGAACCTCGAACTCATCGATCTCCTCCGCGGCGAATTCCAGATGATCGACGGCTTCATGGAGGAGCAGCCGACGGCGCGGGACTGCCGCGAGATCATGGACGCGCTCTCGCGCGCGATCGACGCGTGCCCGTGGGACGCGACGCTCCTGGAGCAACGGTCGGAGTGTCACATCCTGCTCGGCGACCATCACCGCGCCGTCGCAGACCTGCGGCCGACGACGCGGCTTCGCACCGACAACCGCGCGGCGCACCTCAAGATCAGCCAGCTGCTGTACGCCATGGGTCTCGCCGAAGACTCGCTCACCGAGGTGCGCGAGTGCCTCAAGCTCGACCCGGACGACGCGCAGTGCTTCGAGCACTACCGGCTCGTCAAGAAGCTCGCGAAGCAGATCGCGGCGGCGGACTCCGCGGCCGGCGAGCAACGCTGGGACGCGTGCGTCGCCGCGGCGACGCGCATGCTCGCGACGGAGACCAGGGTGCCGGCGTTCGTGGCGCGCGCAAAGTCGCTGCAATGCCGCTGCCTGGCGAGCGCGGCGACGGACGTGGCGGCGGCGGTCGCGGCATGCACGGAGGTGCTGACGGGAGACCCTAACAACGTGGATGCGCTGTGCAGCCGCGCAGACGCTCACCTCCTCGAGGATCGCTACGACGACGCGATCCGAGACTACCAGGCCGCGGTGAACGTCGACGAGGAGTCGAGGCGCGCGCGAGACGGTCTCACCCGCGCTCAGAAGCTGGAGAAACAGTCGAAGAAGCGAGACTACTACAAGATCCTCGGCGTGAAGCGGACGGCGCGGAAGCGAGAGATCGAGAAGGCGTACCGGCGGCTCGCGATGGAGTGGCATCCGGACAAGTTCTCCGACGAGGAGGAGAAGAAGCGGGCCGGCGCGAAATTCATGGACATCGCCGCCGCGAAGGAGGTGCTGACGGATCCCGAGAAGCGGCAGAAGTTCGACAACGGGGAAGATCCGCTCGATCCCGAGGATCAGCAACACGGGCATCCATGGGGCTATCAGCAGGGGTTCAACCCGTTTGGACACAACACGTTCAAGTTCCACTTCAACTGATTCGGGAGAGGATGGGGGGCGGGGGGAGAGGTGCAGAGAGAGGCTATATTTATGTATATACCGAGGCGTCGAGGGTTAGGCAGATTTTTACGTGCGTTAGCAGGGGTAGAAATTAACTTTTGAACACGGGAGTCCAACGGACTCCCTACCCTCCCTACCCGGAGTTCGTAGCAAAATGATGGAGTCTGCAGTCTGAGGTTCAAAATTAAAGATATTAACAATAACACGTGCTTATTTTGAAGATTCATGCGGTTACACGTCTGCCAAATTTTCTTTGGACATTTGCTGAAAAAATACGGTAATTCCGCGAGGCCGTGCTCTGGAACGCACTAGTTAGTATAGTATGGCAGAATTTTCAGGGAGTCACACGGACTCCTGCATATGTCAAATCAGGGAGTCCGACAGTAAATCAGGGAGTATTTGACTCCGGACTCCCGTTAATTTCGCACCCTGGTTAGTGAGCACGCGTGCGTGCGTGTTTGTGCGTGCGTGTTTGTGTGTGCGTGCGTACGTGTTTGTGTGTGCGCGCGTGCGTGCGTGTGCGTGTGTGCGTGTGTGCGTGTGCGTGTGTGAACGTCAGATCTTCTGCAGAAGCTGCCCTCTGAAGAATAGATTTTATAATTGGGTAGAATTATTTCCCTGTGTAATTCAGACAATATCGACATCTGACTTTCGTGATTATGATGCTGTGATTATAATTAAGCATTTGAAAAAAATTACAGTTTTCACTTTTAGAGAAAAACTGGATTGGGACAATTTTATTTGATGTAATTTTTATATCTACTCTAGCACACCAAAGAAAGCATCTCGGTGCAAAGCATTGCTTGGGGTAAGGTGGCGCCACCTTTCTGACTGGTAGTGCTTTTCTGGGGGTTGAGGCTTTCACAATAGTGACAATGCTATTACTACCCTGCCAATCTGACCATATATGTCCAGCTAACAGTCTGTATAAAGGCATCCGGTTGGACGTCGATCACTATTAATTTTTACCGGGTGTCTGTCGTTGGTGGTCGAACATTTGGTCATGCCTAGTCCTTGTTTTATTTCATGCACTTGTTTATCGAATGGCAAGGGTTTATTTCTTTGCCACACTGAAGCTAGTAAGGGGTTAACACTGACAAGTGCTTTGTGGTATGCAATATACCAACTTTTTTGCTAATGATTTTGCAGTTGCCATGCTTGATTTGGGTATGAAATTTTACCAATGTAAATGAGAAAACGAGAAGTGCTAGTCGCAGCTCCGCATATCTTGAAACAGATAGCGGTTACAATTGGGAAGCATTTTTAGGAAGAATCCTTTCTTGCACGATAATGTTGAAATTATATTATGTGCAATAGACTGATGCAGCAGTGTGGATATTCAATACACAACTAGTACCATACATCCACATGATAGGAAGAAAGCAGTGCCATTTTGCTGCAATTATGCACGTTTCTGGCAATGAGATTATTACATATTCAAATGCACAAATTGGAGAATTTTCACTACTGGGCAGGAACCCAGATTTGATGCTATTTTTATGATAATAATGTAGCGTAATAATAATGTGTGCAATTTGTTGCTAGGCAATAATGTTTGTTCATGTCAGCATGTTATGTTCATTTTCCTGCTTTGATTTTCCTAATATTTAAGATTCGTTTTCACATCAGTTCTTTTAATGAAGAAGAGCACAGCAGTTCCAAAACCCTAACCCTATTTGCGACCAAAAATCGGGAGCGTTAAAACTTTGAGGTGGCGGCACCAAATTCTATAATGTTTGCAGTTTGTCAGAATACTGATGAAAACCAACTAAACCCCATTGAAATTTGTGTTGGGTAGTTAGTGTTTGCAAGGATTCATTCCAGTTAGATATACATGTATCGTTTTGCATATTGAATTATACGAATTATAAACGTGAATGCAACCGATTTAGTGTCACCTGCTAACACTATCAGTATCTGATACAATATCTATATACCTTCAATCTTCCTCTAGATCAATCAACTCATAACCTCAAGGGCATTGTAGGAAAATTTGCCATGCAGCTGCCTAGTATCACACCACAATTGCTTCAATCCTATTCAGAGTTATGGTGGTAGCAGGTTTTTTCAAGTAAATTTCGTGAGACAGACTGCCGTTTCATCTGTTGTGAGAAATCGTGCAGTAACATTCTTGATACATGATAAAGTTTGTAAATATTTATAAATAAAGTTTGACATTTACTTTTTAAAATGAAAATGCGGAATATGTTGATGAATTGATATCGTGTCTGTGGATAGTAGATTGGTTCTGTGAGAGTTGAGGTGAGGTTGGTGATCAGGTGAGGTGTACCTGTGAGATAGGGATATTCCAGAGCTTGGCACAAAAACGCAGTAATTTCGTCAATTTTGTTCTTATATCTAGTTTTTAATTAAACTGACAAATTTCATTACATAACAGAAAACTTTTTGCGTTGGCAAAGGCTCGGAAATTCCCCGGAGGGATAATGTTGTTGAAGCTAGGCCGTGACTATTTCTCGGCCTGCGTCTGCCTCATGTATTCCTCGATGATCCTCAGTGCCTCCCCTCTCTTGCTCAGCTTTCCTGCCTTGCCCTGGAACCGGCCAGCCTTTCCTGCTCCCTTGCCTTCCAACGCTGTGCAGACACTGCGAACACGATTCACGAATTTACAGCAAATTTCAGCAAAAGGTCGGTGGCCGGACAGCGTTGCTAGACGACAAGCTTTTTGCTTCCCTCCACGAAGCGGGCACGTCGTAAGAAATTACACGGATGCGTACATTCCACTCCGATCGCTCGTGTAACGCATTTCAACACGACATGCCACTAAAAAATTTACGGGAGGAGACCTATGCACGGTAACGCGTATATAAATACGTACCTGCTGCCTAGCGAGGAGACTGCTTCCTGTGGACCTGATAGTAGGAAGAATCCCGATTCCTTCTCATCCCCAACGGTCAAAAACATCAACGTATCCTAAAACGATTAACAGTGCACCACATCACGTAATGTTCGTCTAGAATAATGACTTTTTTTTTTGAAAATATTGAGTGAATATGGGCGCTTATATTGATTTTTTTTTATTCGTATTTTCCAGATATAACAATCCCATTTATCTGTGAGTGAGCTCATGATGGAAGCTTGCCTGTTCTAAGGTTTACAACAAAATTTGTTCATACCTTATTCTGTTCACTTATTTCATTGGCTACGATGTTCATAAATTCCACATCGCCCTCCTTCCTGTAAAACAGAAGATTACACATTGAATAAAGATATATAAACAGTCTCAATTAAATTTGGAAATCCATAAGCCGTTTTTATATAGGCCTGCATTTAATTGAGCCTATTACTATATAGATCAAGTAGACTTTAAATTAACAAGAGCCGCAGAGCGTCTGGGCTCATCTGAGGTCTGTTGCTACGATTATAAACGTAAAATTTCAGTCGTGCGTAGTACCACATTTGTTAGGCGCAGATATGCAGACACGCAGTTGCGTACACATCATTGTTAGGACACGCCCACTATCGCAGATGGAGGGTAGGGGGAGGGTGGGGGGAGGGGGCTCTAATAGCAAAAGCAGTTCACTCCTTTGTTAATAGTCAACAAATCCATGTTTAACCCTCCTCTTGAGGGTCAAAAGGTTATCCGACACTTACTCTTCGCATGTCAGCAGAAGGGACATTTCATGGTCCTTTCAATAAAGCCATAAAAATGCTAGGTCACCGCTGAAACAAAAAAGTTTTTCAATCGCTCCGTCAGACCATGTCCTCAGAAAATGTCTAAAATCTGCCCTGTGCCCATTGACCTTTGACCTGTGACCTCCAATTTCGGCACAGTGATGGCTTTTTCTACCATGATGCTATACACCGACTATCACGAGCCTAGGTCGAGCCGTTTAGATTTGTGCCGCAATTCTGCATTTCCTCCCTATACCTTAAGTTAAGGAGTGAATGTTCCCCCTTATTTTACACCTCTTGACCTTTGACCTTTGACCCCCAGCTTCGACATCCCAACTCGTTTTCGGATTACCCCCCCACGTCCCGAATATCGTGACCGTACGTCGAGCGGTTAAGATTTGTGCCCAACTGTTGACGCACGGACGGACGGACGGACGCACGGACGGACGATCATGCGATTCTACAAGCTGCATCTGACTATGTCAGATGAGCTAAAAACAAGACTTCTTATAAAAAGGAAGTGGAGGAGAGCTAAACTGTAAACTAGAATGTCTGCAGAAATGTTATACAATCTCAAGGTAGTCCATAGAATACTGGGGCCGTATTGGAAATATCAAAAAGTTAAAACAAATTCACTCCTGGAAACACATCACAACTGTTATGATCATCATAACAAATTACGACAACTGGAACTCGGGAATAATTATGGAGGTCATGGTGATAACCATAACAGTGATGATGATATAACGATTATGCAGTGGAAGCATAGTCAATTGACCGTTAAGTCGGCGTATATCCCGGCGACGTGTGTGCACAACACACCTGTGTAAACTGAAGAGACGTGTGGTCTGGTCGCCGCTGCGTAGGTGGCGCTGTGCCTCCAACACGGCAACATCTCGCAGCAGCGAGAGCGAGTTACGTGTCGCAAGCCGCAGTGACTTCTGCAACTTATCCGTCAGCTCTGCGTGCTGATCCGGTCCCGCTCTAAAACCAGAAACTTTCTTAACCGAATGCTGTTGTTATTGTTATTATTTCATTTATTTATATTGTGCCTTTTTACATAAAATAATGAAAAGCGCACCACATCGATATCGTGAACGACTGAACAATAAAATGAAATGATACTAAATATGTACATGTGAGATATTATATCATGTTGCCAACATTCAACACACACAGGGAACAGAAGGGATGCGATCCTTGGTACCTGCAGGATCACGAGTGTCATAATATACTATACTTACTCATATTATGACACTCCTGGTCAGATCACCTATCCACGGTTATGGAAGGTCTGGCAAGTGTGAGCTGTTACAATGTCACGTGTAAAATCAAGAAATGACAGCTGGTCGATTTGTTTATCACTTCATTATAATTTAATTTTCATAGTTTAATTTTAAATTTATATCACCTACCAGGCTATATAGTAAGTCTAGCGCAATATATATATTCCCTTACACGAGTCATGTAACTATTAGTGAAATATACTTCAATCGAAACAGGATTCTTATAATCTTAGAACGAAGACAGGTTTATACCATTTACGATTACCATTGAATTGTGTCAGGCACATTACTCCTGCACACAAACCCTGCATGCCTGGTGATACTCATAACTCACATTGATAATAACATCATAAGCAGCACTACCATTACCCAGGGTGCAAAATTAACGGGAGTCCGGAGTCAAACATTCCCTGATTTACTGTCGGACTCCCTGACTTGACATATGCAGGACTCCGTGTGACTCCCTGAAAATTCTGCCTAACTAGTTCGTTCCAGAGCACGGCCTCGTGGAATTACCGTATTTTTCAGCAAATGTCCAAAGAAAATTTGGCAGACGTGCAACTGCATGAATCTTCAAAATAAGCACATGCGTTATTGTTAATATATTTAATTTTGAACCTCAGACTGCAGACTCCATCATTTTGCTATGGACTCCCTCTTTTTGAGGGTAGGGAATCTGTTGGACTCCAGTGTTCAAAAGTTAATTCCAACCCCTGATTACCTACTTCAATATCGATGTAAGTTGCTTTTCTCTCGTGACACACTTCGCCAGATACTTCCTGACCCGTTCCCCGGCTACGAACAGCAAATTGGTCTTTCCTTTTTTGCCTTTTTCAACTCCTAGTAATTTGATGGTCTGAAATTTTCGAGGTGGCAAATATCTCAATACAACATTGATAGCATCTCCTTTCACACGGCACCTTAAGTTCAGATTTATCTACATTCAACAATGAAACCGCTCATGAATGTACTTCTTTGCAGACAGATTTAAAATCACAACTGTTCTCCAATCTTCCAATATTCCTACCTGAAGATGACTAAGATTGGATAGATGGGTGCCACCGCACATATTGCAGTCAATTCCATCAATAGAGATAACTCTGATGGGGCCAACATGACCGTCTGGTAGTCCTCTTGCTCTTACCTAAAATTCAACCAAATTTCGATCGATAAAAACGTACGAAATTTTGCAAAGCTTGGCATCTCATTTAAAATGGAGATAAGATAGAGTAAAATAAAACCATCTTCATATCATCTTGCTTAACACCAGAAACAGCAAGTACACAGTATTCCCAAGTCTGCGGTTGTTCCAGGTAGGAATTACCTCATACAAAACGTTTAAGTATGTAATCAGTTCCACGCACATTGACAGCCCCCTCAGCTGCTACACTGCTACACATGGTAATCAGCTGCTACACTGCTACACATGTAATCAGCTGCTACACTGCTACACATGTAATCAGCTGCTACACTGCTACACATGTAATCAGCTGCTACACTGCTACACATGTAATCAGCTGATCACTGGCTAACAGGTATAAGTGCTACAGCATACATGATAATCAGGCTGCTACAAACGATAAATGTATCATCTGTACACTGCTACAATGTAATCAGCTGTGCTACACTGGCTACACATGTAACCTGCTACACTGCACCATGTAATCAGTGCTACACTGCTACACATGGTAATATAAGCTTGCATACTACAGGTCCTATCCTTGCATCATTCATCATTACTCACATGAATACTCTGCATCCGGTGTTTCCATCACTGAATACATGCTACACACGGATAAGCATAGGCTGTTGTTCAGCCCTGCTTACAACAGTGCTCCATGTCTATCTAGCATGGATCAGCTGCTACACCTGCTATATCTCACCATGTGAAGCGCGCGAACCTGCTACATCTGCTGCCGAATAATTAGTGAAATGTTTACGGTGGGAGCGAAGCTTGTCGTCGGTGACACACTTCAGCAGCACGTAGCACATGCTAGCACTGTATAACTGCTACACTGCTACACATATAATCAGCTACTACACTATAGCTGCTACACGCGCGACACATATAATCAACGCATGACTGACTACATTAGGTAGCACCGAGATCACACTTCACATCTGCAAGTGCGCTGGATTAATCGTTTAGCCTCATTCGCGTCAAACTATCTGGCCGCGGCAGCACGACAGTGACGGTTACCGACTTCATTATGTGCTCGTTAATTAGATCTTCCAGATGGACCACCTGCTCCTGCGGACCGGCCACACGGCTAGGCGTATGTCTTAAATCAATCGATGCACCAGACGCGTGCGCCTAAGGCAGAATTCAAAATCATACTAGGCAGACAAGTCGCCAAAGGTTCATGCCAATAAATTACAATAAAATTAGTTTATCATTTCATGTTGGCATCCTGCTCATTATTGAGAGCATAGCAAACTAGCAGAACCTCTTCCTGTCGGTCACATATGACAGCAATACTACCGCCGCCACCATCATGCTAACACCTTAAACACTTTTCAAGTATGAACATTTCATATAGAGCCGGCATAGTATCAAGAGTACATAATAGAGATATGCACTCTTGATAGTATACTATTAAGGTATCTCACAGAGTAGAGACCTCCAGTATTACCCTTACAACAAACATAACAAATCCTTGTAATCCAGTGTTCTGCTCGTTCATAATGCCACTATGTTTGTGCCCTAGATCCTGCATTTGTTGCAGCGCCACTACTGCTTACCACGAGGTTGTCTGGTAGCCATATTCTCCATCGGCAACTGCTGTTATCAGATGCTGACCTGCAAAAGAAAGTGTTCCAACTTGGCTGCGTGCCTATTTTGATATTCACTGCTTCTTATCGGTGAACTGGAAGAACTGCTCTTTGTGACACAGATTTGCGAAAGCAAGTTTTTTCTGTGGCACAAAAATTATGTGGCGAAATGTGAAATCTCAGGCAGGCTAGTTGAGGGCTGTGCCTTTGCTTTTACATCTATTGGACAAATTATGTGCAATGCAGTGAGAGGGTGTGTGTGAGAGCACTTGCCATTGTCATGGCTGAGGTATGAGACCAAATGATTTCAATGATTGAAAAATCTAACTTGGTGCCACATTTTATCATGAGCAACCCTGCATCGGACAAAGGCAGTATCACACAATGCGATCGACGTCAGTGGACGAAAAACCACAATAAAATATAATAGGACCCGATTGGGGATTCAGGGAAAACATGATTAGCTTTAGATGATATTATTGATGTACGTGTATCTGAATGAATGCTATTTATATCTTTGCAGATAACCGTGGTCATTGTTAAATAAACAAGTGACAAATAGACAGCGTTCTTATTTATGACCATGGTTATTGACGAGGTATAAATAAAATGTAAACTTCATATTGTTTTCGTTTTGATCACAGATATAGAATACAATATGAGGTTTACATTTTATTTATATATACCTCGTCAATAACAGTCAATCACCCTGCTCCTGCACAGGTGCCTCCTACACACGACTCACCCGTATGTTGCTGCATGTGGTCGAAGCGGCGTACCCAATCGACAACTACGTGCACTCTCGCACCGACCTCAACTCGCTGCTCTGTAAAATGAATGGCTTTGTCATGACGCCACTCAACGCGCAGCACAGGCACGTCACCTATCTGCAACGGCAAACAACATTAAAATAGATCACTCACCTCTGCTATTTATACAAACACGTAGACTGGTGTGAACATGTGTATGGCATACCCGCATGTGAATCGCTACATGGACATCTTGGTGACATACAAGCACTGTACTAGCGGTACTAGCTCTAGAACTACCTCAAAACATGATGCCATTGTACAGCAACGAAAACAATTGTAATCAGGGCAATATTAAATGACTACTATACCCACAGTTCCTGAGATGGTTGAGAATGAACCTTGACATGGACAAAACTCAAATATTGTATTATGGTTAGGTAAGTGTCATTCGTTTTAACCTTATGTGTAAATGTGATTTGTAGTCTGATTCTTACGTCGGCTGAATATGACTAACATAGATTTTGCTTGCGATGCATTTTTATTATGCTGATTCACATATTTTTTTCGAAAGAGATTGGAGAAAGTCACTCACCCGTCCTCTGTCATCAGGCTGAAATGAAAAACAAGATTTCGTTTGGAACAACAAGTTGTACTTCTGAGCACCATAGGTGTAAGAAATGTGGCAATACCACCATTCGTAATGTTATCTGTGTGAAGGCTTCAAGCGGTATGTTTTACATGCTGTTTTATGCATTTAATTCTCCTGTTAGAAGTAATAAAGTGTATCTAAATTGTATAAAAATTGTATCCAATTGTATCTAATAAAAATTGTATCTGATTGTATCTAAAGTGTATCTAAATACCTGACCACCTCCTTCTGGGAAAAGCACCGTGTCAGATAGAACAACCTCATATCCCTGCACCTTTTTCTTGTCAATCTTGAATTGTGATGATTCACACGAAACTACATCTGCTTCTAACTGAAAGAACAACAAAAGTTTCCACTCATAATGTAAACAACAAAAAACTAATTTCCTAATTCAGTCCATCACATTAGTAATATAGTAATTTATTGATAGGAATTTTACATGATTGACATTTATTGATATTAATATGACATTTATTGATATGACATTTATTGATAGGAATTTCACAATAGTAAATTTATTGATTAGAAACGTGAGGAAGAGTCGTGATTCACACATTTAATAGGCAATATTTACCGTACTACAATTAACAAATATTTCCTCTAGGTGGATATCTCACGAGAATATCACATATGCATAGAATGATAGATATGTACATCATGCTCCTAGTTCTTTAATGACTAACAAATAAACTTCTCAGCAAAGAGATTTTAGTGTTAAACTCACCTCTTTCAAATAACTATTTTTCTGGCAGGAGAGCAACATGGTTCAACATTGGTTACTAGTCACAATCCAAAAAGTACTTCAAAACGGTTGATGCTGAAATACTACTGCAATACAACAAATAGAATGTAAATGGAAAACCGAAGAAGTTTAGAAATCGTAGCTCTTCTAGCAGGAGCTAGATGGATGCTCTCATAGAGACTCACAGCTATAGGGCCTGCATACCTCCCAAATATCATGGTTGATACAAATCACGTGTCTGCAACTCCGTTTTAATAAAACTTTTATGGTGCATTGTGACCCTAACCTTAACCCTAATCCTAACCTCTAACCCTAATCCTAACACTAATTACAATATAATTTAAAAAATTAACTATATTTGTATCAACCAATGGGAGTTGGGAGATATGCAGGCCCTAGCCGCAAGTCTCCTCTTTTTTTAGAGCCACACCACAGCCACAGGCACTTGGAACGTCTCAATAAAAAAAAATACGCAGTGGCTATACGCGTCTGGAACCGGTCGCCTAACCTCCAGGCTACGCATCCGGACATCCACTCACACAGTGATCGCGCGACTCGCGTACACGCATGATTGCGCAACGGGACGCTCTGCTGATTGCCGAAAATATACAATATATGCACTGCTGCCGTCTATCCTTTCATCCGTCCTCTCTCGCTCTCTCTCTCTCTCTCTCTCACACACACACACACCTCTAGCTCTCTCTCTCTCTCTCTCTCTCTCTCTCTCTCTCTCAGGCATAAACACACACATACACATTCCCTCTCTCTCTGTCTCACGCACACACACACTCGGCAATCAGCAGAGCGTACCGTTGCGCAATCATGCGTGTACGTGTGGCAAGATCACTGTGTGAGATGGATGTCCGGACGCGTAGCCTAGCGGCTCCTCGTCCGGAACCGGTCGCGTAGCCACGGCCAAAAAAATAATGTAAACAAGAAATGTATTTACTACCAAATTCTTAATGTTTCTCTGCTCTATTTCGCCTATTATTGCCGATAATTACCCGTAAATGCCGGTCAAATGCGCATCTGCAACTCACAAGTACACCGCGCGCACGCTCGCCTGTGAACAAACAACATAAATAAGAGAGTGTTACATGAATAACAATATGAATAAGAGAGTGCAGCATAACCTGTGAGATAACTCTCTTGAGTCTTATTTTATATGTTGTTTGTGCACAGGGCGGGCGTGCGGTGTACTTGTGTGTTGCAGATGTACATTTGACCGGCATTTACGGGTAATTATCGGCAATAATAGGCGAAATAGAGTAGAGAAACATTAAGACTTTAGTACCAGTAAATGCATTTCGTGTTTATTGACCTTTTTTTATTAATTGAGACGTTCCAAATGCCTGTGAGCCACACAGCTAGAGGGATGCCTTCCTAAAATGTACGCATTGTACATTTTTCTATGACACATAACATCTGTTGCCAACATCCGGGTAGTTTTTGCCAAAGTTAGCTTCCATCTTGGATTCTTTCTTGACCCCAAATTTTTTTCGGTAAAATTTTTGACCTTTGTTGAGAAACGAAGTTCTAAAACGTTACTCGGTAAGTGCCATTTAACTACGTATGTATTAGTGTATGTATTTCTAGCAGATAGTCTCTTGGTTACTTAGTCTATCGACGTTAGAATAGTAAGAATGTGTATGGATAATATTTGTTTGTCACATCTGAAGCCGAAATGGTCAATACCCGTCGTTGTTGTTTACCGAGTGAAATAACTGTCACCGTACGTGTGCGTAAAGTTACTAATGTAAAGCATTTTACTTAGTACGCAATATGAAATTTGATTGCGTTATATGAACTTTCGATGTCATGTTTTTGTCATTAAAAGGGGTGGTCATCATCGCTAACACAACGATTGAACAAGTGAACACATGCATAAGCCATTGCCACACAACAAGTATCTCGACTCCGACGTCGACTGTATAAACAATATTAGGAAATTAGAATTGCTCCTTTAGACACCAGTTTGTTTACTGCTAGTGCTAAGTGCTATGTTTACACACGTTAAGTTTGTTGTCTAGTAGACTGCATACTATAAAATTGTCATGTTTCAGGCTCCTTGCTACTACTACTAACTAGTACTAGGATAGAATTTTGCATTTTTATAATCTAATGCTTTTTTATTGTCCGCTGGTGTAGTCCACAGTAAAATTGCGGTGTGCATAAATTTGTTAATATCCTCGACTGACTTGGCAATACTTGTTACGATGATGGTACCGGTACGCCATATTCATACAACATGTTTAGAATCAATTAACGTTTGGATGCAATAATGTCGTTCAGATTCTGTTGGATTTTTATGTACGCTGTGGCTATATATGCCCGGCAGCCGGGCACGGTCTTCGATTTCCTAAATGCCCGGCAGTTTCTAACCCTAACCCTTGCTTACTTGAGATAACGCTGAAAATTAAAAACTGCTGTGCATTTAGGAAATCGAAGACCGTGCCCGGCAACCGTCAAATATATGCCGGCTGCCGGGCCAGCCGGCATATAACCACTCTGTTATATGTAATATATAATATATATACCAGCGAGGACTTCAGATGATATCAAGAAGTTGTTTTCATAACTAGCTAGGGATTCGTTGACTAAAATACTTGTCACAATGAAACTGATATGTCAGATATCGCAAATGGCAGCTATCGGAGTCGTCCTAAAAACTACAAGCTATATTGGTATAATTAACTCACGCAGTACTAGATAAATCTGACAATAGGAAAACGTGATTAAAAGGGGGCATAGTGAAATTTAACAGGTTAATTTAACAGGCGGCAGAGGTTTTTGTTCTCGTTTTATAATTCGCAGTGGCTGGAGGTACGGCAGCCGTCGTTCGTTGAAGCCCCTTTTTGGCATTAGGGTTCTAGCTCATCTAAACTCTCAAATCAAGCGAATGTACTGCCGTACCTCCAGCCTCGAGACATTAAGATAAGGCTGCCGTACCCGTAGCCACAGCGTTTAAAATTATTTGCAGTAGTTTGTTTTGAAGCAGTTCTAACGCGCAATCTTGTTTGTTTTTCAGAATTACCTTCGGAAGTTGTGGAGAGAGAAGCTGTGCTATGTGTGTGAACCATAGTCATGAGTAGTATGGCTTATAATATATCTACTGGTGTTCAGCATCATCAAGATCATTCATCGCGATTAAAATAATTGACAGTCTTCAGTGAGAGAGCCATGCTAGCGTACCACATCAGGTGTGCAGTGGTAGCTGCCATCTGGCTCTACAGTTTTTCTGTACTCTACACAGGTGAGTGTGTGTAAAGAATGAAATGATAAAATAACATATATGGACGAAACAGAAGTGTGAGGACTGTGGGTCAACACACAATGTTATTACTAAATCTCTGCTGGAAACGGCAATAAAATGATAGTGTTTTTTAAGGAGTCCATTGATGCAGTTATGTTACCATTTATATATTTTGCGCATTGTAATTATTTATTTTCAATGAGAAGTGAATGATAACGTGGAATCTTAGTTGCTTGTGATGTTTTTTACACACAGTAGTGACTACTAATTTGTAATTGCTACCAGTTTTGGTGAAATTTATCATTATAGGTAATTATTAGGTATATATATTATTATAAACAGGGATTGAAATTTACTAGAATGACCCACTAGGCTGCTAGGCAGAAGGACTAGTGGAAATCTGCTAGCCCTGATTTTCTGTAATGTTGCATTCATGCTTGCCAAATTTAGTAAGGGAGGATAGTTAAAATTGGCTCTGGCCTATAGTATTCTGATACTATGTTGAGCACTTGCCTCTTTTGTTTTCTGCATTTTTCAAGGGGTCCCACACATCTTTTACGGCTCAACATGTTGCAGATTGAAGCTGTATTCGTTGTGTGGGTGGTGTGATGAAACAGGTTGCAATTGCAAACGTATTTCAGTGGTCTCCATAGTTCTAAGAACGCTTTTGCTTTCGTTTTCACATCCCGTTGATTGCCCGTAGCAGTGGCCACCCCTCTTTATATTCAGCTGCAGTGTATGCTTCTTCAGACATAAACAATCGTGCACCTGCTCCCCCCTTTATACATCAATCAACACTGCCCGTATCAGAGCAGATATTCACTATCTGTGCACCACGTGGCAGCCACTGATACGCAGTGGCTATCTTCTCGCAAAACAATATTACTCGAAGATATCGAAACGCAGGTCAACAAATATCATCACCGGCTTGTCGGGCTGGTTAGTCTTGACAATCCATTAGCCATCGACTAGCCTGGGGCTAGAAGGTATGCATTAATTTCAACCCTCGATATACATATATATGCGTGATTAAATGCTAGTTATTGTTGTGCACTCTCCCGTGATCTGGGTCACCAGAGGATTGTTGTTGGGGTCGCGGTGTGGGATTTCCGTGTACGTTGTACACGTGTGGCTGTACATAACATGGCCACGTGCCAAGGTGAATTAACTTCAGTTGTAAAACCAAAACTGTACCACCCATGATATTTTATTGCGGTGCTAGTTGTCAGCCGTTGCTATCATAAAAACGCATTAAATCGGATGGTGATCAATAATGACACGCGTATTGTTAAGCATTATGACCTTCTGATTGCATCTGATCCATCATACATCCTAAACCAGTAATGGAGTGACGAGTGCACGTTTGATGTTTGCCTCGGACAGCACTTTGAATGAAACCATGAACGCGTGTCGGAAACTTTTGGAGATTTTGGCGCGCATGGCACTGCGCGTTAGTAGCGGAACAACGTGCGTGACGTTGAACGGTTGTGATAGTGAAACTCTTCCGTTGAATGCAATTGAATGATTGGCTCCATTATGCGTTGCGCTGCTGACTGCATTATCTCTTGCCCGTATGCAGCGAAGCGATGATCGTAAATAAATTTCCCTGTGTGACACCAAAGCACCAACAACTCTGTTAGTTACTCGCGGCTTCGCGTTATCACGTTTTGAAGCATCGATCGCAAAACAGAAGCTGCGTTTAATTTTACGTCAGGTCTCAAAGTTATTCTCTCTCGATTATGGTGGGGTGGGGGTGCAATCTACATTTGACTGTGACCAGGCGGGTTTATTTGCTCATGTGCAAGGGCTTTCTGCAAGGGCTCTCGGTCTTATGTGGCAGGGATATCATTAGAAATGAGTTGCGGTGTCTGATATTCCTGTTATTGTTATACTGTGCAGGGGTTTCTTTACATCTCATCTATTACAGGATTTCTGATGGTACCTTCGTCCATGTAGGGGAGGTGCCTGCAGATCTGACTTGTATCAGACTTGTATCTATCTCTCTCTCTCCTCCTCTCTCTCTCTCTCTCTCTCTCTCTCTCGTGCTCGTCTCTCTCTTCGCTCTCGTCTCTCTCTCTCTCTCTCGCTCTCTCTCTGCGCGGACTCCTTTATTTTGCTCCGGACTCCCTATTTCTGAGGGAAGGGCGTCCGTTGGACTACCTTGTTCAAAAGTTCATTTCTACCCTTGCAGTTGTACGAGAGAGATTAGCTCTAATCATTAGGCAAATTTTGCAAAGTTGTTCAGGAAGGAGTGGAAGATTCGCAAGCCACTCGCTGGTTTTGGGTTTTTTATCCTAACGAAGCTAACGAGTAATGAGGACGGGTAGCCCCCGTGACCCCGGGGGGAGGGGGGCAGTGTCGGTCGCACCGCTATAGCACCCTGCTGTCGTTTTACTGGCCGGTGTTCCTTGTCCCCCGCTGTCCTCCCAAGCCCGTTACAAGCTGAGCAGAAATAGCTACAGCCGGGCTGCCCGGGCTGCACGAGAGAGAGAGAGAGAGAGAGAGCACGTTCACATGTATGACCACGGCCGTCTGCTAATGCTGTCTGAAGGTCACCTTGGGACAAGCTCTCCGCGGCCTAATATACATCCAGGACATCCAGTATGTTCCCTGATGGGCGCCGCGTATAGATGCTGTACGATACTTCAACAGAGTTTTGCTTTTAGTAGAACGTCCATAGGTGCTACATCCCGTGTATGCTAACCAAACCTTTCGTGGAAAATTTAAAAAAATCCCTACTGACAAAAAATACGTCTTAAAAATAAGCTCATTGAGAGATTTTTGGGAATCGCTAAATTTCTTTTCAATTTTATTTTTAATTTTGATAATAGAACTAAGAAGTTGATCGGCATAAAGTCTATAAAATACTTCCCTGAATGCTTGAAGGCACCTGCAGTTTCAGAGTTGATTGAGCTCGTATATATATGGCTACTAGAACACATCACGTTTTATCAACGTTAAATAACCACGAGATCGTATATCGTAAAATTAACTCTGCGAGCGCAGGTACTTGCGAAGCCGTACACGGAGTTTACATACACACAGATATTTTTTTTGCGTGTTTGGCCGTTGTAATTCCCTTCTCGTTACGCCTCGCGTCGACAGCTCTCGCATTCCGAGTTTGTCACGAGAACCGAACACGGTGTTGTTTATACAGGGTAAGTATGTGCGAGTACATAAAACTCGAAACACATATAGTTCCTGCACGCAACAGTGGTTGGGCTTGCCTGTATGTAAGTGGCAGGCAGCAGGCGGGCGGTGGGCTGGGGGGGGGGTGCTGCACGCCCGCTACATGGCGAAAACACGTCGCTGTTGTGAGAGATCAGGTTTTTTCTGCCCCTCGGTGCATGTCGTTGATTGGTGACGACCGACGCCTAGCTCGCAGGAGAGGGATGGTGGCCATCGTTCCATACCGGCAAGCATGCACGCCGGTGCTTGTCTGCACGCGTGCGCGCGCGCGTGGTGTGTGTGTGTGCGTCGGGAGAGGGGTGGGGGTGGCGGTGGTGGTGGCAACTTTAATATGCCGCTGGCATGCGTGAACTGTCGCAGTTACGCACGCATTTTTTCTCGGGGGCGCGTGTACAGCAGACAGGGTGGCCTAGATCGATTGACAGATTTTCCGCTAGCGTTTTTGGTGATTTTAAAACGAGGCGCGCATATTCTGGGGTAGTTTTGCTTCCAAAAATGCGTTTTTAATGGTGTACAGAATGGGTTTTTTGTTGGTTGCGAAGATGAAAAGTTAGGTGGGGGGCGGTACTGGTGATCATTAGCTTTGTAGCTGGATAGTTCAGGCATGAGAATTTCCCGCGGATTCGCGGATTTCCGGGTTTTGGTTTTCATTTTAGCCATTCTTGAGATTGATGTAAAAAAAACTAATAAAAAGCTTAGGGGGTAATGCATACTTTTTTGTCAAAATGGACGCCATTTTTAATTTAAACTTCATAAAAAGTCAGGAAAAGTACGCCAAATTTCACACAGAAGTAACAGAACTCCAGATAAATATCGCGGTGTATCTATGTAATGTAAATTAAGGCATGCTTTAAGTTAACTGCCACATAACACATTGAAATTTTCATAGAAAATGACTGAATTGTTAGTCACGAAATTGGTTTTTTACTAAGAACGAAATGAACTTACAATTTTCCCCAGAATGCATGGAAATGGCCTATCTGCCCTTCCAAATTTCAAAAATTTCCTGGGGGCATGACCCCCCAGACCTCCCTAGCAGGACTGCACAGTGTGCTCACGAATTGAAATATTTCTTTCAAAAACATCTCAACCTGTTCTTATGCCTGATAGTTGAAATCTGTGAAAAAAAGATGAGGGGCACCGTTGTCAGAAACAAAATTAGCCTTAGAATTAGTCTTAACGTGAACTTTTTCTCGTAGACAGGACATGTATACACTGCTTACAAGAAACTCGTAACTTCACCATGTTTCTGCCATCATGAGAAAAGTAATTTAACGTTAAGACTAAGGTAATTATTAGGTGTGAATTTCAATGGGTATAAAATGTAAAGTGAATCCCAATCATGGGCATAGTTTGGTAATTGTTTACTTGGTCTGTTACCCCATGTGATCAAGTTTTTCGGCTGTGACCCATTGCTTTTATTGCGGTATTAAAACTAACGTGAAATCAAATGTACTTTGTACTTATGCACTATAATGCGAAAGGTATCTGTTTAGTGAACTTATGAGCAGCAAGAGGATGCTTGAGCTTTATCTTTCCATACATTCCTGGCTGGGAATTTCCAGTGATGAAGAAAATGCATCCGTCCGCACTTCAGATAATGAAGACCTACCAGGATTTGCCTCGGGCCTCGTAATGTAACCTTACACTTACTTAATGCTCACTCGTTGGTGATTAAAAAGTGTGTGACTAATGATCGAGATTCACTATGAGTCAGCATCGCTATATATGCGTATGTTGGATGAGGCAATTAGCTAGAAATCGACATTTGATCCTAAAGACGATTGCAGAGTTAGCGCTTCTGTGAGGAA